TATATATATATATATAATAAACATTCAGCATATTTATTTGATTGACCGAAAGGCTAATTATCCTAAAATCTAGATAGAAAGTGATTATGAAACTAAATTATCTTTTTTTCTTATAATGATATATTATCAACAATTCATCTTTAAAAAATAATTTTATATTTATTAAAGCAAAAATTAATGAATACTAACATAAAAGAGACGATAAAATTGTAAAAAAATAAATGTTTTCATATAATAAAACTTAAATGTGTTTTTATTTATCAAATATAACAATTGTTAATTATAACATTTTAAATTTTAATTGAGCAATTGTAATTTATCAAGTATTGTAATTGTACAATCTTAATCTTTCATATTTTAATCAAACAATTTTGATATTTAAAGTATTATAATTTTATGATTTGTCTCTCACATATCATAATTATACAAGTTATTTCTTATTTAAATTATATATATTAATAACTTTAGTGATAATAAATATATATATATTATTTAATACATGAATAAAAATTATAATATATATATATATAATTTAAATAGGTCAAAAAATATAATTACAATAAAATCGTATAATTGAGATAGATTAAAATTATTTAATTAAATTTTTGGAAGACCAAAATTACATAATTATAATATTTAAAAGATTAAAAATTTTCAATTAGAATCTTATAAATTAAAATCACATACTTATAATACTATAAGGATAAAAATACAATTAAATCTATTGTAAAATGACAAATAATTTAGGGAAAAAATACGAAAGTGATAACTTCAAGAATAAAGAGTGGTTGAATCAATTCGTTAAAAAATTAAACGTGCTAAAACAAGGTAAATTAATAGTTCAACGTGATTTTAAATAATCCATTGTGAATCAAAAATAACACGATACTCAGTTAAAATTTTACTTATTTATGTAATGAATAATGACCACGAAGTGGTGATAATAATAATATAAATAAAAAAAATCAATGGATTTTACTATATTTTCATCTATTTTATGTGAGTTCTTTGATTGTATTTATTTTTTAAATTAATATATTTGAATTGATTCAATGTGACTTCAAAAACATTAAATATTTAATATAAAAATAAATAAATGAAATCAAACACCAAAAATAAATAAATAAATAAAAGAGAATTAAATGAATTTCTCCATATCTTAAAATTAACTTTATCCAATTAACCTCTCTAAAATCCTATTTTTAATCATTCCATAAGTTAATTTTAACTTATGAAAAAAGTTATTTCAATTTTTCTTTCCTAAATAGTGTTTTTTGAAAAATTTATCTTTACATGCTCAAACTTTAGTCCCAACTTCCCACCCTCAAGATGATTTTCAATTATATGATATGGCCCAAACCATCTTCCATGATCCTTAATAGCGCATGTTACTAAAATTTCAACGCCTAATTAAAAGTTGCAATAAAATTTAGGGTAAAAATTATAATATAGCGACGATATTTTGTGTTCTTGACAATTTTAATGAGTACAATCCATGATTGGAACATATATCTCAACAATACACAAAACAAACTATCACCAAAACTCAGATCTTAACAATGAGCAGTGCAATATCTTCTTGCACAAAACAAAACACTATTAATACTACCATAGTTCAGACATAGGTATCAATGAGGGATTTCCTCATCTCATCCACAATGGCACTTGGCTGGGCTTCTCTGAGCTTGAAAACACTCTCAATTACAGATAGCTCTGTTGCTGTGGTGTCAGAACCACAAAATGCTGTCCAATCATTGACAGTCATTCCAGCCGCAATTACTTCACTACCACGGTTCACAGTCCCAGCCACCAAAGGAACCTGAAGAAGTGTAGAAAGTTCATCCAAGTCTTCTATGGAAGTATGAGGGTGGACCTGCATCAAGTGTATGGTCAAAAGACAATATATATGTCTAGATGAATTTCAAGGAGAAAATATATTTTACTCACCAAACCACCTCTGTTGGAGAAGGCACAGTAGCTGCCAACAAGAATATTACCAGCAATGGTCTGCCTGAAAACTTCTACTCCAAGAACATCTGCAATCATCTCCTCAGTCTCCTGAACAAAAATATTATATTGAATACTAGTGCAAGCCATGATTTATATGTAAAATTGAAAAGATAAATGCAAATAACAATGGTGTCGAAGGCACTTTTTTAAGACACTATTATTAATCGAAATTCATTTAAAATTACAAGTTTTTATGTCTCATTTCTTATTTAATGAATCCTTCTTCTAATTTTATAGTTTTCAATAAATTTCAACCAATGATAGTTTGTTACAAGTGTTCTAGCACTCCTGATACAGAAAATTAACTCCATATGCAATACAATAACATGTTTGGCAGACAATCAAAAGTTCAAAACTTGATTAGGTCCTTAACAGAGAATTATCTAGTACAACATTTTTAAGTTATGAGCAAAGATTTGTTTGATTAACAAAAACCAGCATTAGGTGATCAATTCCCCAGGCTTTGATACATGCTAAATTTGCATTATATTTCCAAGAAATTACAATTTGTTAGAGTTGTCAAAATCTAAGGTGATCAGATGAAGAAAGACTAACAATATATGTGATAATTTGTCCATTTATTTATTCATGTTTAACAAGAAAATAGAATTCTCTCTTCAAATCAATTTCTAATTCTAAACATGATTAAACAATTACAGAAAAAAAAAATCTTTAGTCCACAATAAAACAATACCCTGTCAAGATCAGTGTGTGTGAGGGCCACATGGTCATTACATGCTATACAATTTCCCAGAGCAGATAACCTTTCATCAATTCGCTGAACAACAACTTGATCAGGTAGACTGTTTCTTAAATGTTGAAGTTCTACAGCAACAACAGTGGCCATAAGATCAAGTACCATATGTCAGTAGGTACAGAGTTAATAGGGTGAATTTTTGGGGACAAGGGGAGTTACAAAGACATTTTAACAAGACAGCACATTAAAATTATCATCAGAAAGTACTAACACTAAAAACAAACATATAACAAAAATAGGAATCACCTTGGTCTGTGGTGGTATGGGGCAAGAGAAGCCCATTCTTGTTTCCTGCAAACCAATAGAAAAGTAAATTAATAAGGTCCAATAAAACAATAATGAATAAGAACCTGATATTAATTAAAACAAAACAAAATTTGAATATGTAGGATGGACTAATACTCCATGAGAAACCACGAGAAGAAATGAGGATAAGAAAAAATTACCAGCACAAAGACGGCCAATAATTCGAGTACCACCAATGGATGTCTTGACCACAGGGATAACATCTGCTAACTCGGATTCAAATACGCTGTATCAAGAAACATATGAACATATTATTTCATTGATTTATTTATATCATAACAATTCAAACCATTTGTAAGTTGAAACCAGATACTAATAACTTAAATTCATCTTGGAATATATTTTAACTAGTCCAGAATGAACGAATACCTGTAGAAGTTTTCAGAACCTCCAATGGCAACCAAACAGTAGGCATTTGTAAGTTTAGAGAACACTCCAACTTCACAATTATTTTCAAACTGAAGTCCTGCAAGAAATCCATCGTCATTCAATATACATTAATTTAAAAAGTAAAAATGATTTCCACCAAAGAAGACCACAAAGTTAGAGATACGTCAAACAACATAAATGAACAAACTTGGTAAAAGGTACAGATTAAACAGATAGGGAAAACATATATTTTGCACTTACTAGTTGCCATGATTGAGAATGACAGAAATCTTTGACCCAAGTAATCAAATTGAAGATCTACAGTATTAGAATTATAATCAGAAAAACAAAATAAAGGACTCGACTTTCATATGAAAAGCTATTCAAACAATATACATCTTATATCTAAAACTTGTAACCCTCTTCTAATCAATCTGTGAATAACATGTATTATCCTTACATCAAGGTTTTGAGAATTGAATGTTAAGATTGAACTTCTTATGAAAAACATCTAGAAGGGGGTCAGAGTTACTTAAACCAATTCTTCCATGGACAGTTTTAGATAACAAATTCACGTATCAAGTAACTGGATCTGATCTTTACCTAACTTGAATATAAAAAAAATAACAAAAAAAGGAATGATATCTGTACTAGAAAATTATTCATTCAAATGCCACCTAAGAATTCTTTAATTCGCCACTTCTTCTAGCATTTGGTATACATGATAAAACACGGCAGGAAAAAACAAGTAGATTCCGAGTCATGTTTAGAACATTTTATGATTTTAAAAATAGGACATCCCAAAACTCATTGCTGGGAGTACATTTTAATTCCACTAAGAAAAAAGTGAAACCAAACCTTTTCTGTCAGTGTGGCAAACACTGCCTTAGAAACAATGTACATGTTGAAACATCCAATACAAGGACAGCTATCAGAACCCTTAAAACAAACAGCAGCAATAAAAGTACCTCTTTCGAAAAGATATGAACTTTGAAAAACTCTCCTATATAATGCATGATTGGAATGGTTCATTTTGAATAAAAAAAACATTAAAACATAAACTGTCACAAACATGCAGATAGTTTATGCCATTATTGCTACTTAAAAACTTAAAATATCAAAAAAGTATTAATATATTTCGCGTCTGCAAGCTTCGTGTCTATACTTTCATTTCGGCAACGCAATCAAATAAAAACTCACTCGCGGGAAAGACTAGTGACAATAAAAAATAATAAATTTACATCAAAATCGGAACACCAAATAATCCATAACCTAATTTGGGGGGATTATGGGGGGAGTGTTGGATGTACAATCATGAAGAGAAGAATACCTGGTGTGGCGTTTAGGATGGAAGGTCACGGCGGAGATAAGGGCGGCGCCGGAGATATTGTCGGAGCTAAAAACACGAAAAGGGGAAATGGAGAGAGAGAGAGAGGCGGAGAGAGAAATTAGGGTATTGTGTTTTGTACCTGCGGGGGCCGTGGGCTGCACGTTTTTTTTTTTTTTTTTAATATATACCTTAGATTTAATTGAAATGTATAAAAATTAAGAGATTTTTTTTTTTGGAACAATTTTATTTTTTTTTAAGAACTAAACTTGATTGAGAGATGAATATAAAGTGTGCGAATTTTGGTTTTGATAAAGTAAATTTTTTAGTTTATTTTTTCATTCTTTTAAAATTTGTAAAATTATTTTTGATTCTTATAAAATAATAAAATTTAATTTGGGTTGTGTGTGTAACTCTTATTTTAAAGATTTATAAAAAAAAATTGAATTCTTACACATTGATAAAGTATTATAGGCACTTATGAGTACTATTTAGGATGATCAAAAATATATAAATAGTTAAAAATAATAATAATAAAATCACATAGTTATATGGAGTAGAAAGATAATTTCAAATTTTAGAAGGATAAAAAAAATTATACATACTTAAATTAAAGCATGTTCATTTTACAATGTCTAAAAACATATTTCTAAGTGAAACTTATTTAGTAAAGAATAAAAATGTGGGAAAAAAATTAAAAATGGTTCAAGCATTAGATCAAAACACAATCATAAATCTCTTAGGACATAAGTTTTAATAATAACAAACTTATACATTTTTCTGAGAAAAGTTTTTTAGATCATACTATAAGATGAATTAGAATAAATGATTGGTTATGATGACATAAATATCTCAAATAAATCACTTTATCTATACAACGAATGCATTTAATATATATCATTAATGATATTTGATAACTAAATTATGATTAAAAACTTAGCAAATCAAAATGAATAAAAAGTTTTTTCCATACTTACACTTCAAAAAGGAACGAGGACATGCTTTGCATTAGAGAATGGACAAACAAATCTCTCAAATAATGCAAAATCTATAAATAAATAAAAACTTAAAAAGTCATTCCTAACGGACACACACAACAATTCATTTCATTTGGTACCAAAAAGGTGATAAGTAGTCTCATTGATCAAATAAGAAATGACAATTTGGTGAAACACATTTAATGTTCACAATTAATGCACTGATGAATACATTTTCTCACAAGGAAGGAAAACAAAAATAGATGAAGCAAACTTGTGAGAGATGCTCAAGGATTTGCAATGGTCATCTTCATGAAACACTTATATAAAGAAATTTGAAGATTTAGAAAGAAAAGAGAGCAACTTTTGTAAAAAATCATATTCATTCTTTCTATAAAATGTTATGCTCTTAATTTATTGGTTGTATCATGTCTTGATAGTAAGACATAACATCAAGTGATTTCTCAACTTTAACTTTGTGTTATTACTTTAAGCTTGAATAGGTTTGATTATAAAGAATACTTAGTTATTAAAGCCTAGAGAAGCTTCATTGTTCAAAGAATACTTGGGTAGTTACTTAAAGAGACAAGTCAAAGAATACTTGGGTTAAGTTAGAAGTAACTTGTGAAAGAATATTTGTATCTTTGTAAAAGATAATGGAACTTGATCAAGTTAATCAAGAACTATACGTAGTCTCGATAATTGAAATGAACCAATATAAAAATACTTTTTGTTTTTTTATGTTGACTCATCATCTACACTTGTAAGGTTTTCAATACTACTACAACGTTTCAAAAAGTGTTAGTTTCTTTATTGTATTCAACCCTCATTCTGGTGTCTCTCTTTTCTCCACAATTTGGTATCGAAACTCAACCTTTAATGGGGTTGAGCATCTAACCATGCTAAAGAAAAAGATTCTAATATAGGAAGTAGTGATGGTCAAGACCTGCATGAAAGAACTTCTTTTACAAGGCCACCGAACTTTAGTGGAAAAGACAACCCATATTAGAAAGACAAGATGGGGGATGTTCATCAAGTCCATCTAATACCATCTCTAGAAGATCATCATAGGTGGTGATGTTCTTGTAACCAAGCCAGAAAGTGAGTACACGCAAGAAGACTATAACATCTTACAATTTAACACAAAGACAAGATACATCTTAACTTGCTCTTTGTCAAGAACATAGTACAACAATTTTTGTAGTTGCAAGACTGCTAAAGAAATGTGAAAAGTCATCAAAGTAACTCATGGGGGCATTAAAGACATAAGGCTCTAACAAGCTATTACTTTTTAGAAACACTATGAGTTGTTCTCTATGAAGGATAACAAAAACATTGATGAGATGTTTGAAAGGTTTCAAACCATTCTCAATGGGATAAAACTCCTGGGATCTGAGTTATCCAAAGCTCAAAACAATCTCAAGATCTTGGATGGTTTTCCAAAGATTTGAGAACCAAAGGTCATTGCTATATCAGAAGTTCAAAACCTTAAAACTCTTATAGTGAATGGACTTTTAGGAGCTTGAGAGTTCATGAAGACCATATAAATAATAGGGATCATCTAGAAGTTAATGATTTTGTTGCTCTAAAGACTGGTGAAACCAACAAGAAGATGGATAAAGACAAAGCTCTAAAGTTGAGTTTGAGCATAACAGCTCAAATGATAATTCTAAAAACTCCACAAATGATGAAATGTATCTCATGTCCAAGAAGTTTAAGAACATGCTCAAAAAGGAAGAGACAGAGGAGCTTCCACAAAAAAAATGATAGGTTCAAGAGACTTATCCAAGAAGAAAGCAAAAAGGTCATCTATTGTGAGTGTAAAAAGCTTGAACAATGAAGGTTGAATGTCTTATACTCAGAAAGCAATGGACCAACAAGAAGAAAGCCAATAAAAGTTTGATGGCCACCTCAAATGATCTAGACAACAGTAGAAGTAGTTTAGACAATGAGAAGGTTAACATCTATTTCATGGAAGATGTGAACAAAACAAAATTAGAGGTTGAATTTGACTCAAACTCTTGTTTTGTTGATAGTTTTGATAAATAAGAGATGTCATATGAAACTCTTTTAGAAAACTCTCACACAACTATTCTTGAGTATAAAAAGTTTAAAGAAAAGTGCAAATCATTGGTAATAGAAAATGAAAAACTCAAGAATGATCTATTAGATGCTACCAGAGAGATTCAAACACAAAATCACAAGCAATAAACCAATTGAGGTTACAACATTGCAAGCCAAAAACATACAACTCAAAAAGAATCTTGCTAAATTTGTCAATGGATCTTTTAAGATAAATATACTTCTAAGCACAGAAGATTGTAATATGACAAAAATGGTCTTAGGCTTGATACAATGGAGTCAAAGACATCATTTTCTAGACCTGAGATTATTCTTTGCAACATTTGCAAAAAAAAAAGTAATTATCTCCCTAGCAGATGTAAAAACAAACAGAAACAAACAAGTAAGTTTAAGGTCAAGAGTACTAACAAAAAAGAACCCAAAAATATTTGGGTGCCAAGATCTTAATTAATTCATTTGCATATATCCTTGGCAAAAAAAAAAAGAGGAAAGATTCACACTGGTACTTGGATAGTGGTTGTTCATGACACCTGATGGGAGAAAGATCTTTATTTTTAAACCTTCAACCTCATGAAGGAACATTCTTATTTGAATGAAGTGGTAAAGGAAAGATCAAAAGTTAGATAAAAACTTTATATCTACTATTAATAATGTATTATATATTGAGGGATTATAATCTACTTATTAACATAAGTCAATTTTGTGACAACAAATATACTATTTCTTTTAACAAGGATTCATGTACAGTCAAATAGCATGACAAATCTATGTTGTCTATTGCCTATAGGAAGAATAATTTCTATGAGATTAATTTAGATAATCTAGGCAAACAAAATGTGACTCGTTTAGTTTTTAGAGAAAATGAAAGATGAATATGGCATAAAAAGCTTGAGCACATAAATTTAAAACATATCTCTAAACTAAACAAGAAAGCTTTAGTACAAAGATTGCCTGAAATTTCTTAGAAAATTCGTATTCTCTATGAAGCTTGTTAGATAGGGAAACAAGTTAAAACTTCTTATAAACCTAAACAAATTGTTTTCACTTTTTGACCTTTAGAACTGTTACACATGAATTTGTTTAGTCCAACTAGAACTCTAAGTCTTTGAGGTAAGAAATATGGATTTATCATTATAGATGACTATTATAGATATACATGGTTATGCATCCTAACTCACAAACATGAGTCTTTCAAGGTATTTGAAATATTTTGTAAGAAGGTTCAAAATGAAAAGGACTTTTGCATTACTTCCACCAGAAGTAATCACGAAGCTAAGTTTGAAAACTCATATCTCAAGTTATTTTACAAAAAAAAAAATGTTATCTTTCATAACTTCTCTTAACTGATAACACTTCAACAAAATGAGAAAGTTGAAAGAAAGAATCAAACTTTACAAGATGCTTTTTTGCAAAAATTCTTTACTAAAACATTTATGGGCAAAAGTAGTAAGCATTTCTTGTTATATTCTAAACAAAATATTAATAAGACCAATATTAAATAAGACCCCCTATGAATTGTGGAGAAGAAGACTCAACATATCATACTTCTATCCATTTCGTTATGAATTTTATATCCTTAACATTACATATCAACTTGGGAAGTTTGATTTCAAAGTGGACAAAGGTATCTTTCTTGGATATTGTGACACTTCAAAGGCATACAAAGTTTTTAACTCCAAAACCTCTATAGTTAAAGAATCAATCCATGTTAAGTTTAACGATACTTTAACGATTGATAGAAGACTATCATATCTAAAAGAGAAATTTGCATATTGAACCTAAGAAGATTGCTAAGATAGATGCAAAGGAGCAAATGATCACTATGACTGAAGGTCAAACAAATTAGTCAAATGATGCATCTAAATCTCATAGAGATTGAAAGTTCATCAAATATCATCCACAAGATCAAATATTGGAAGATAGGGCTAAAGAAATTAGAACAAGGTCTACCTTTAGAGACAGTGCATCGTATGCTTTGGTCTCAAAATTAAGGCAAAAAAAATAAACGAAACACTCAAAGACAACAACTAGATTCTAGCTATGAAAGAAGAACTTCATCAATTTGAAAGAAATTATGTTTGGACACTTGTTCCAAAGCT